GGAAGGGGTAGGGAAAGCACTTTGTTACGGGAGTGATTTTTGGTACCTGTGCATTTGGAAGCGGAAGCCGTGCATCACTACAGCTGGCAGCCAGGTGTGGTCTAGTCCCGGGGTGTCAAACTCGCCTCGAGACCTAGGCTGGATCCACACCATGAGGCTCCTTGCAGGCCAGATCCAGCCTGAGGTATGCAGAGGCAGCTCCAGCCCTGACCCAGAGCACGTGACAAGCAGCCCTGGTGCTGGGCACATAGCACGGCTCTGGCTTCTGCCTCGTTGTTAGAGCGGGAGCCACTGCCCCATGCCCCACGGTGCCACAGCAGCCCCAGCTCCAGCACGGGTCAAGTGTCCAGCCACGTGTCCAGCACGGGCCAGGTGTCCAGCCACATGTCCAGCATGGGGCAAGTGTCTTCATCATGGCATGGCGGTGGGGCCGGCAGCCGAAGAGGTAGGGCAGTAGCAATGGGCACAGTGGCTGGAGGATGACTGACTGGGGCTGTATCAGCCCTCGCTTGATGCTATGTCCACCAGAGCCCAAAGGCCGCAGACTCTGTGGCAAGCCCCTTCTTCCCCCAGCTACACACCCCAGTTTCTGGAAGCCCTTGATCTGCAAGTGAAATGTAATGCCTTAAATGTCGGCCGGCAAAGTAGCAAGCGCAAAGTTGTCTAACGACCAGGAAAAGGGTAAGAATCGCACCTTAAACTTCAGGGGCCAGCACCCTTTTCTCAGCTGCACCAGCAGAAGTCTGAAATGGTTTCACCGACTCGGCCCCCAGCTGGAGTTTTTCTCTCTGAATTTGTTGCAGGTAAAAGCAATTTCTTTGTGCCCTGGAAGGAGGGAGCTTTTGCTTTGCAGCCAGGCCAGTCCGTGGAGCAGATCTGTGTTTATGCTTTTGTATTCTTGTAATTGGATTGTTCTGAGATTAAAAGATCTGGCTTCATGAACGCTCACCACGGAGCAGGAGAACGTTCCTTACTCCGATCTTGCCAATCTCCGGGCTGCTAGTTCCCAGCTGATCGGCCCCAGCGGCCGGGTTTGGGTTGTTACGGACGCTGGAGGCTCAAGTCACAAGATGGCAAACCTGCTGTTAAAATATGCAGGCTCACAGATGGAGCCTGCATCTCGGAGGGGGTCTCGTGGATCAAGTGTTCGGTTGGGGCGGATGCCAGCAAGGGCAAAATAGCCTCTTTATCCACCAAAGTCGTCAGGTGATACGCGCTTTGACCGTGCCTAGCAAATACCATGCTGCTGTCCTTCGGGCACCTGTTCAGCTTCCAGGACGGCCAGGCTGGTGGGGTGAGGTGCTCGCTGCGTGCATGCCTCTTGGCTTGCTTTCACTGCGTGGGGAAAAAGCTTGCAGGCTTTCAGTTCGGATGTGCTGTTTCTTCTGAATTATGTCGTGTTTAACTCCTCCGTGTTTTTAACCAGCCAGGTTGGCTCATGGGTTAAGTGGCAAAAGCCCGTATGCACAAGCTGGGAATAAAAAATAAAAATAAAAAATTGCCTGGATAGGAGGCTGCCAAAAAAAGACAAGGCACCAAGAAGTCCTTCTCTGTCACAAGCCCTAGGAGCTGAAAGCAGGCACTTCTAGCAGGTGATGTGTGTATTCAGTGCACCTACAGGATACCTTCCTCCTGTGCAGAGATCTTTGCTCAAAGTTTCTCCCTGCAGATCCCAGTGGCGCACACCTGCTTCCCTCACCTCCCATCCCGGATAAATGCTAGGTTTGGTAGTAGGGCAGTGAGCCTGACTCAAACACCCGAAATAAAAATCCGCAATGGCTATATTGCAAAGTGATGGCGTACCTCAGTAGGGGAGAGAGGGGCAAGACTTTTGGGTCCGCTGGCTGACTCCGTCTGACTCCTCCAGACTGTATTGTGCCCCCCGTTTCTCCTTCTCCACCTCCCTGTTGCTTAATCTGGAGAAGAGTAAAGATAAATATTCCCATCGCACGAGAGCACTGTGCGGTTTCATTAGGGTGTGTAAGGGCGATTAGTGGTGGTGCTGCTGCTTTAAACAGAAGAAATATGTTGGATGGTTTGGTCTAAATAAATTGCTTGAAATATTTCTTGCCTGCTTTATTGCTCTATGTAGCAAATGGGCATCTTATGGTTTGGAAATCAACCCCTCAAAACCATTTAAGATGGCAACAGTCCTCTCACTCCAGCCGAGGAAACTTAATTGGGTCTCTGCTACTAGCATTGCCGCAAGCGGTACTTCAGCACCCATGGGTCACTCTTGGGAGCCAAAGGAAGGGAAAAAAATGACCTCAAACATGGGTTCAGACATGACCTTGTATTGCAGCGATTACAGTCGGGTCTGAAGGACACATTCCAGTCCAAATTTCAGCTTTGGAAGAGCTTTGATGTTGCAATTATGACCCCAGGAGATCAAAAGGGAATCCACTATCTGGGCTCGCAATCAGAACAGCCTGCGACTTCCCTTGTGTCCTGAGCAACTCCTACCTGTCTGCTTTGCTGCCGGAGCCTGCGCAGAGGGATGCCAAGTAAGGAGGGACGGTCCTATGGAAAAGCAGGGTCGGTCTGCTCCGCAGCACATCCTTTTTTTCCCAGTTGTGCAATGATGAGCTAAGCAATGATATAACATGGTCATTCATAACGGCGCGGCTCTCATTGAGAGCATGGCAAGGTTGCCCTCCAAACACTGTTGGCTAGATAGCCTGTCCTGTCCTCGTGCAGGGGGGCTTGGCAAGAACCGTTTCTTCCCTTTTGCACCCTTCGTGCTGGGGCCAAGCACGATGTCTGTGCTTGAACTCATTGCAGCGCTGGTGATTTGGCCAGCTCAGACGAAACGGGGAGAAAGAGAGCGGTATGTGGTGGGCTGTTATAGCCAGCAGGGTGCGCGGGACCACACACCGCATTGTCCTGAGCCGCGGCACAGCAGATATGCATCAGCTCCAGCAAGAGTCTGGAGTTAGTCCAGTCTTGCTCGAGCCACCCTCCCACAGGCATAGCCGTTTCCAGCTGGCCTCATTCTGCTCTTATCTTCCCCATTTGTCTCTGGTTTCCATAGCAGTGTTAGGGTGGACCTAGCTACATGCACCCCCCTCTTCCTGATGCTACATTTTTTTTTTTTTTTTCTTTTATTAAAAGTGGCAGAAAAGGCCAGTGAAAAAATAAAAGTCGGGTTGTCACCGAATGCTACCTAAACATAGAGGACTACGGATTTTAACTTCGGGGGGCACTGTTCTTTGTTGAAAAATGTTATCGGTGGAGCCCGTGCTGGCAGGTTTTCATCTGTGCTCTTGAATACGCTCATTGATTTTCCTGTTTTGTGTTGCTGCTGTTGTTCAAGGGGTTACCCAGGGCCAAGCCGAGCTTGAAAACGCTCCCCGTTGAAAGAGCGGCTTCTCTTTTTTTGGAGGCCTTACTCTTCATTGTTTTGAGTGATATTTATGAAAGTTTTCCAAAGGGCTTGGGGAGCGAGGGATGGGGGAGGAAAGAGAAACGCAGGTATCTGGGTAATGGAAACCGAGGGCAAATTGAGCCTAAGGACAGCAGAGGTAATGTACTGCTGTGAGTGCAGCGACTCTGAATATTTCATCTCTAACCAGCAGCGCGTAATTCTCTCCCTGTATTACATACCCTTTAACAGAGCACCATGAGCGTGCGCTGGCCTGGCTTCGCTCCGCTGCGATAATGGACTTATTTCGGTATCCGTGCGGTATTGTCTTGAATCCCATTATTCAGCTGAGGAACAAATCTGTTCCAGTGTATCGCTTTAACCTTTGATGTATGAGGGCTTCCTCTTCCCCCCCCTCCGCCATCTCCCACATGCTTGCAATATTTATGACTTTTGATGTACTAGGACACCCTAGCAGCCGCCTATGGTACAGTTGCAGCTTGAAATGCATCTTTTTATTGCATTTTGTAGCAATGGCTTCACATGGGTCTCTCTAAAGATGCATGTGTTATAAATGAGCCACTGAGAGCACTTGGTCTTCGTTGCTTTGACTTTTAGAGGCTTTTGACTAACATTAAGTTGGGTTTTAGTCGGCTACCAAATGGCTCTTAGTGCAAGCCATTGTTTTTTCTCGTGCCAATCCTTTCCTCTGGGTTGTGACTACACGTGTCATTTTTTGGCGGATCTAGGATTTCAAGGATTATTTCTGGATTGGCTCTGTGGCCATTTCTTGGCCAGACATCATGCTCTGTTTCCATACTCCGAGGGGTTTTGTTTCAAAGGGTTAGTCATGGTCAGTAATAAACTTCAAAGTATTAGATACAGATGTGCAGGATAAGAGTTCAGCTTGACAAATGTATTTCTACCCAATAGGGAAAGTTTGTCTTTTTTCTACCCCCACCAAGGTCTCTGAATAGGGCTGGAAGGGACCTCTTGAGATCGTCAGGTCCAGCCTCCCTGTGATCGGGCAGAAAAGACCGCTAGGGTCACCCAAAACCAGCAGTCTCTTGAAAAACTTAAGCACTGCTGCTCCAAAGACCAATTTTCTCTCCCTGATCATGGTTTATAGGGTCATCAAGCTCAAAGGAGAGAGCGATGCTTCTGGAGGAGAACTCTGCGCTCCTTTGTAAGCATCCCCCCGACACGCACGCCCAAAACCACGTCCACACCCACGCAACCCAGTCTCGATTACAGTGAGATTCATAGTAAGTTGGTGCTTTGGGGGGTGGGGAGGGATCAACATGACTTCCTGGCTAAGGGGGTTCCTCTCTGCTTTGCCGGACAATAAATAGCATGTGTGCGAACCAGGAAAAGCGGTCTCGTCGCGAGGTATGTGGTTGCAGTCCGGGCACAGGGGTTTGATGGTTGCACGGGCAGATCCGACGCGACGATGCCTGTTACCAAATGTGAATCTGCTGTCTGCCTGCTGGAGTGACTGAAAACTTGCCAGCGCCGAAGAGAGCAGGCAGTCACTTCCTCGCATTGTGTTCTCTCTTCCTCCAGTGCTGTTACGAGAAGAAGTGTCCCAGCTTCAAGAGGAGGTTCACCTGCTCCGCCAAATGAAGGAAATGCTGACAAAAGACCTGGAGGAGACGCATGGCAGCAAGTCGACGGAGGTGCTCTCTGCCACCGAGCTCAAGGTCCAGCTGGCACAGAAGGAGCAAGAGCTAGCGCGAGCCAAAGAAGCCCTGCAGGGTAAGAGCGAAACCCTCCCTCTGTTTCTGTACCTGGGTCTCTCCGTGTCCCGCTTGCTGTGGGTGGTTCTCTCGCATGTCTTTGCTGCCTGCTCTTTTCCTTCCCCTCTTTCTGCCTCGTCGTCCTCTTCTCTTTCTCTGCCTCCTCCTCCGCTCTCGTCCTCTCTCTTTCCCCGCCTGCTAGAACATCCTGAGGTTCGTCCCAAGATGTTAGCTAACAAGGAAGGAGAAACTGCACCTTTCCTTCTCACGGCAGGGTTTACAGGCACTCTGGAGCCTCCTGCTTTTATCCAAGGGGAGTTGGAAGAAGCCGAGCTGCTTCTGAAGATCCTTTTACACTGAGCTGATGGGGAAGTTGTTTGCAAGGAGCCAGCTCAAACGATTTGGCTCTGAGCAAGAGCCTGTGTCTTCTCTCTAATGTAATCCCAGTGGCTGAATTCCCTGTCATCAAGGGCATATTCATTTAGCTTTCTGAAGGGTGTTTTCACTGGACTGGGTACTATTTTCACTTAGCACCCTCTTTTGAAGGGTGTTTTCCACTGGACTGGGCACTATCCCAGTGTTGTCCATCTGTGTATGACACCTTCTGAACCCATTTGCTCCTGTCTGACATTAGACAGGGCGTGTAAAGGTGAACATCACTCATGACAAGGCATTGGCACGTAAGTGTTTGATTTAGGCTTGCCTGGATCCCAAGGTTTGCTTTTTCTTTGGATGTAATCAAACTGTTCCTCTTCCTCGTTTCCTAATTGCCCCTGCTCCGGAGGTTTGCTTCGCTCTCCTTTGGAAATGGAAAGCAGTGTGCACGTGTGTAAGGAGGGTGACCCCTCCTAGCAGAATGACCGACTGGCTGCAGGTCCTTCCCTCCAGCAGGACAAAGCTGTGCTTTTCACCACTATAGGTGTCATTTTAAAAAAAAGACAGATGTCTGTCGCTATTTTTGCACTCTGCATCAGTTATAAGAGACAATTTGCCACCAGTGCCAGGACTACCAGGAGTGGCCAGAACCGGCCTGTATGTGGATACGATCCAGGGCATTATGTCGTGTTTCTCATGCTCTCTGTTTGTAGGGTTGCTATTAGCTCCTGTATGAACTCACGCAAGATAGTAAGCACAGTGTGTACCTCTTCCCAACTGAAGGAAGTTGGTGGGGTGCGAGGAGGTGCAGGCTCAACGCTTTTCACGAGTGTGGCAGCCTGCTTCTACTGACGCTGCCTTTATTCATCTCCTGCTTGCGTGCACGGCTGTTGTGAGCGCGAGTGAGATAGGGGCAGCCGCTCCCAATGAAAACACAAATGAAATGCCGCTCCTGCCCAGCCCGTGGGGGAGCTCCAGCTGAGTCCTCTCCTGCTGCTTCCCTGTGATTCTGGGCCAGCTCAAAAACCTACAACCCTAGGCGCTGCATTTGGCGGTACAGTCTCTTGAGCTTCACTAAACGTGGTGCTCTCTTATTTCTGAGCCAGCACAGCTTGCAATCAGCAGCGGCACCAGCTTATTTATATATTTTTCTATAAATCTTGGTCTCTGGCAAATTGATCCTCTCACACGTAGGGAAGTAAATACTAGATTCTGGAATTCCCGTTTAAAAAAAAATCAGTCTCTTGACCAGGAAAGATGGTTGGCAGAAACATCCGAGTTTGTAGGGTTTGTAGAGCGTGGGCAGCTGCACGCCTGCAGTGGATTTGCTGCATAGTAATGCTGTTTCATCAGTAAAGTGTTGAACCGAGTTTAAGGGCTGTAAGGTCAAATGATGCATCGAGAGAAAGATCAAAAAAAAAAAAGCCGGGGGGGATGGTGGGAAGCCCATGGAGAACCAAGTATAGTAAATATAAGGCAATCCAGTCACTGAAGCAGGCGGGCAATGAGGACAGGCCAGTCTCTTGAAAAAGCGTTTGGACCGAAGAGATGGGAGGGATCAAGCCAGGCAAGACCTAAGAGCTCATCATGTTGGCAATGGGAAACGTATGAAAGAGAGATGAGGAGAGACCTCGAATTGTGTGAGCTTCCTAGGACCTCTGGGAGAGCCACCCAACGTGCATCATTCTGCTGGATTGCTCAAGGTCCTGGGAGCTCTGTTGCTTGATGTTTAAAAGGCATTCGTGCATGTCAAAAAAGGCATCAGATGAGTGTTGGCCTTGCTGGCCTGGTCTGAGCCACAGCAGCGCTCTCTGGCTTTTGAGATGCTTTACGGCGTGAGAAATAGCTCAGGAAAAATCCAGGTTGTTCCCATTACCTGAAGCTGGGACTGGAAAAGCATTCCCCAGGCAGACCACATTGAGCTTAATGAGGTGAGTGAATGAAAAGGACAAAGAAGCTGAAGAGCGGGGATTAAAAACTCCGAGGCAGCTATGTCGCCACGGGGATTTCAGGGGGGCGATTGCTTAGCAGCTGTTCTGCATCGCAGCAGGGGCAGCGCGGGACCTCTCCTCGAATGCCGGAGGTGCCAAGAGGGAAGTGGCATAGAGCTGAACGATATTGCGGAAGGTACGCTAAGATGACGGTGCTTTCCAACAGGCGACAAAGTTGAGGGACTAAATTGCAGGCAGGTGTAGGCTTAATGGAACCTGCACAAAGGAATTTATGGGCCTGTAATATGAAAAAGCAGCAGTATGTGTCTTTTTTTTTTAAGCATTTAAATAAAAAAAAGATCAAGCAGCAGCTGTCGCGTGCCACCTGCTCGCTGTGCCGCCTGAGGCCTTGTAGGATAAGAGCAGTGGAAAATGTGCACCCTGGGCGGAAGAATCCTCAGCTTTCAAACTAAAAAAGATGTCCCAACAATGTCTAACAAAGCACCGTTACTTTCCCCTCCTACAGTTTTCTCTCACGTAGTGTCTTTTGCCCAAGAATCTCACTTGGAACACCAGCCTGGTAGTTGGTCTGGGATGTGGGAGTGGTCATGATGGAGGACAGGCCAGTCTCTTGAAATAGCGTTTGGACCGAAGAGATGGGAGGGATCAAGCCAGGCAAGACCTAAGAGCTCATCATGTTGGCAATGGGAAACGTATGAAAGAGAGATGAGGAGAGACCTCGAATTGTGTGAGCTTCCTAGGACCTGGGAAGTGGTCTGGGATGTGGAAGACCTGGGGGCCTTGAACCCAGGCTTCCCACATCACAGCTGTGCTGCCCTGTGGGTAAGGTGGGGAGGGTATCTCATGTCTGTGGGTGGCTTTCCATCCCAAAGCAAAAAAACCCACAAGCTTAGGAAGATCTCCATTAAATCCCAGCGCAGAACAAAAACCAATCTGAAACCTCTCAGTGATTGCAGGAAGAGACATTGTGTTCTCTGGCAAGCCGGAGTCAGGTTCCAGAGGGTCATTATACTCCTTTTCTCTTTCTTTCTTTCTTTTACCCGCCTTAATCACTACATGGGAGGGAGAGTCCTATATTTCTTTGCTGCTGTAACATGGGGTCAGGGCATGGAAGAAGCTGAGAACCACTGTCCTTTTAACATAGCGTGGTAACAATTACTTGCATGTGGTCAAAATCAGCATGTCAGTAGTAACCACTGTATCCACCATTCATTTTGCCTGGAACTCGAAACCCGCAGAAAACGATGATTCACATAAAAGCTAGTCACCAGATCAGGCGTTTGCTCTGCCTCCAGATACCAGGGCTGAGCCTTGAAGCCGTGACACAAGCTACAGTTCACAGTCTTACGGGCTCTTGAAAGCATCACCGTGAGCTGGAAACTGGTCCTCCTGGCTCGAGCATCCCCAGGATGGAATAGCTTATATGTCCCAACTGACGGGTGCCCGAGAAGGCAGCACGGTGCCAAGAACAAGAAACTACCTACACCCTGCAATAGCTCCGCAGCCGTCACTGCCTGCCCGCAGACCAGCTCTGTCTGAACAGATGGAGTCAGTCCCTTGCATCGACAGCACATCCTGATCCTTGTTAGCACATGATGCCAAACAAATGCAGCAAGACAGGAAAAGAAACACGAAGCCAAAACTCCTAGTGCACGCTCATTGGTGCGGTATCGTGATGTGGTGGGTGGGTAGTCACAGCACAAGAAAATGCTGCAGATATGCAAAGAGATGTCGGCTATTAATAAACAGGAAAATAAATCAGGAAGTGCCATGTCTTATCCACAACCGGCATACAATCCTTGTTGCTCCAATCCACCCAAATTAGCAGGGAGGGAAGAAAGAAACCCTTTCTCCCACTCCACAGATGCTGGCAAAGCAGCAGATCTAAATATAATCTCCAATCCCCGGTGCACCGCATCCAGCTTTCACTCATCAGTTTTAATTTAAAGATTCGAAAGAGACATTGTCAAAATTTCTTAGGCTCAGAAGTTGAGCAGCCTTAAATTTATTATGAGTTTGTGAGCAGACTGGACCCAGAGCTCAAACAATACACATCTGAGATCCATCCCGTGTTGGCCACTCGAGCAGTTTGCTAAGTGAGCCTTGTTCAGCTCCTGATTTTGACAGTGAGGGAATAGCCCGGATTCCAGGAGAAACGGCCACTGAATTTGGATGAGATCAATTTGGGAAGTTCAGATTGTAGGATGGTATTTTCCCACATGCTTTCTATCTGCTATTCTACTTGAGGGTATTGGAAGTGGTGAGCACTTCTGAAAAGCAGGTGCAAAGCACCACATCCTGTTCTAAATGGTACTTATGTGTAGGGACCTACTTAAATTGCGCTGAGACCAAACCATTTTTGTGGGTTGGTCGCAGCACAGAAAGCAAATTCTTCAGTATTTCCCAGCCCCGTGCTTCAGCACTGGTCAGCAGAGATGCCCCCGCGGGGTGAGGTGGTGGCCACTGTTTTGTCTGCTGCCCTTCATGCTGCCCTGCCAGCCAGCACCTTCCCCTTCCTGGGGAGGATGCCAGGCCCGGCTGCAGTGCAGCAAGGACCGTTGGCTCCCACTGGGAAGCCAGCATTTTATTTGTATTAATTTCTTTAAAGTGGATCCTATGCAATCTGCAAAATTGCGAATTTAAGTAGACCCCCCACTTCTGTGTCTCAGTGCTCAAGCACTTGACCAAACAT